GCCCTCCCCCAGCTCCCCTGATTCAGCCGCTGGTCAGTTTTAGCAGCGGCTGAATACACACACATATACATACATATATATATATATATACATATACATATATATATATGGCCATTAGTAGCACTCAAGAAGCTTAATCTCCCAGTACTCAGGACAATGATATGTGAATAGTCAGCCTAGAGTAAGGTTGGTCCTACCAAGACATGTGGCCAGGTCAGCTGATGCTGGAACCCATTTTGGATGCTGTACCAGTGACATTGCAATGACTGGAAGTGGGAAAAGTTGAGGAGCCCTGCCTTTGGCAAAAGGGGACATAAAGATGGGAAACCAAACAACAGAGGCTGCTGCCAAATGCCAGGAGTGTCTGGCTCAGGAGAACAGTGTGGTGGGGCCACAGAGGACAGGTAGGCAGGCTCAGTGGTATTTCAGCACATCAAATGACAGTCTCGAGGGAATCTCTGACCAAACCTGTCTCAACATCAATATGAGATAGCTATAGCACTTGGCCTGAGGTTTAAGAATCAGACGTGCCTGCCAAAATCTGAGACAAGGTGTGGAACGTGCTGTCAGACGTCTTAAGAGCAAGACTCAAATGCAGAAGCTACAGATTCTGAATCACCAAAAAAGAAAGCAGGCTCCTGTTGCTGGAAAAGGAATGTGTGTCAGTCCCGCTACTTCGGATTGCTATCAAGCAGAGCCGGTCCACAGCATGGGAGCATGTCCTCTGGCATGGTGGTCAGAGCATGAAGGGGCACATACATGTTTAGAAGGGGTTGGCAGCCTACGGCACGTGTGCCACTTGTGGCAGTGAGCCAATTGAGTGACTCATGCAGTGGGAGCTCAGCTCCCGCCCCCTGCAGCAGGGAGCCCTGTGCCCGGTGTGCAGCTGCAGAACCAGCTCCAGAGGCAGACGGGGAGGTGCAGATTTGGCTGTGCACGAGCGGCCGGTGCTCTCCCCCTTCTTCGCCCACCTCCTTGCAGAGCTGTGCAGCAGTGAGCCCGGGGCAGCCGGGGAGCTGCTGGTATTGGTGGTGGGGGGTGCATGAAGGCGCAGCCAG